GGGGGTGGGTTATTCTCAGGAAAAAGTTTGCCACCTCTTACCTGGTTAGGTTGTGTTGTCTAACGCGAGAGTTTAGCATTTGCTGTTGCGTAGAGGACGTTAGTTCGCCGATAAAAGCAGTTCCGCGCGGACGCGTATCAAAAATTTCGCATCACACGTTATAGTCTGTTTATCCGTGAGGATGGAGTATAACGGCGATATACCTAGCCTACCTACCGCCTCAGATTATGTCAAAGAAAGAAGCTGTATCTTTTAGGTTCACAACAACTGCGCTTCATCCGTTCGCCTCTATGCCTTCTTCGAACCCATTGAGACAGGAATGAGGTCAATGTTCTTCAAAGTAAAGCAAGGAGCTACAGCTAGCATCATTCTTTCGCGAGCCATCCGAAAGTGGACTTGGAACGGATTGCTGAACGAAGCAGCTGTGGTAATCTACGCATGGACAAATTTAAAGGATCCACGTCTTGAGCAGATCTGGCAAAAAACGTTAAATGCCTCACTGACATGCGCATAATTCGCTTGACTTGGTCTGTTAGTAATTCCTTGATCGCGATACTGGTTGAACATAGTATCACAACAATATTGTACAAATAGAACATATCCCGCAAAATAAGTGCTAACGACTCATTCGTGCAATGTGCGATCCACTACAGTCCAAAGAAAGACCTTCAGGAGTGTAGGGAATCGTCCCACTAGACGAGTTATTCTCATACGCACAAGTACTCAGATTACGCAAAAAGTCCCATTGACAAAGCCGGTCTCGTTACAAGTGATGTTGGTTGCTATTCCTTGCAGTCTCAGCTAGTATTATTTATTCGCATAGATTAGCTTTTACTAAATAAACCGTTCACCAATAGGCGTGTTTCTAACCTTTCACAGTACTATTACAGCAATAATAAACATAAATATCGTACAACAATTCACAGAAGCGTCTGCGAAGACATCACCTCAAAAAATTGAACATTAACACAATTTAACGTTGTGGGAGCATGTCTTACATCAATTCTAAATTAGAGTTCATCATGTTTTTATCTTCTTGCAGTTTCATATCTTTTTAACTGCCATACAAGACTACGATCGACTGTTGAAGTTGCA